CCTGCAATTAACTTCGTTAGGATCTTTGCCGCCCTCCTCGGAAATGGATGGAACCGTAATTCACAACGGACGCTCGCCTGCGGTTGCTGGAGGCCGCCGGAATGATTGACGGCCCGGAAAGAAGGGAGGATTTGGGCCGGGGCTTCGCACCGGCCGTCGCCGCCTGCCGTTTGTCGCTGCAAAACCTGACGCGAAGCGCTCCTTTCTACCCCCGCGTCTCCAACGCCTTGCGGGGCGGGCGGAACCGCCGGCCGACGAGCGAACGCCCCCGTGAGAGAAGAACTCATAACAGAATCCGGAGAAACTACAATGAGACAGCCTTAAATTAACTCCCCTTACCTAGACGCCTCGCCTTCGTCCAGAGCGAAGGGCGAGGATGTCGATGGCTGCGCGGCTGGCCGATAGAAGCGCCGGCACCGGGGAGCGGAGCTGTTTTCGGCCTGACCGAAAAATGAGTTTGAGCGGTGAAAACGCAAAGCCATCTCTCCTGCGGCGCTATCTTTACAGGAGGAAATTCTCCTCTTGTAAGTTCAGGCTCCTTGCCCTTTTCTCCGCTTCCCGCCTCCGAGACGGAGGAGAACGCTAAAGCCGGAACCTCGCGCTTCCGCTCAGGCTCTGTGTCTACCGGCAGCTGAGACGATCGTCGGCACTGAGCGGACTGCGTTGCCCACGGTGTTCCTTAACAAAAGAACCGACTGTTTCCGTTCCGTGAAAGCAACCTACCGGAAAGGAAGTCTAAGCGACAAGCGGCAAGCCTGTCGGATGCGGGACCGCCCAAGTAAATAAAGAGGAACAAGGGGTTGCGCGAAGCCGGAGCCCCTCCCGGCCTCGCGCTGCGGCGTTCCCCGCGAAGAATTCTCCGCGAAGTCCTTCCGAGGCTCGGGTCGGCCCGGGGAAACTCGGGACGAAAGCGATTTCCCTGCTTTATCTTGCTCGCGGATCTCACGGACAACGACCCGAAGCGCCGAAACAAAACAAAACCTCTCCGCTACAAAGTTCGGAAACCCGCTGACGTTCACACCTCGTCGATACGCGACGCTGACAAACACCTACGCTTGGCCCGCGGCACCGGCCGCTGAAAGAAAGGAACCCCGCGCGAGATCGGGGCAAAAGCCGAGCCGAGAAATGACGTTTCAGCTCGTTCCGAACCGCGGCGCGTGATGCCGCGCTCCGTCCGGATAACTCTCTCGATCGCTGCAGCCGCACAAGCCTAGCGAACTACGTGGCCTGAGCCAAAGCCTGACCTCTCCCGCTTCCGCAGAGTCGCAGAACGGCCCGGGTTGAAAAGGACCGCGACGAGCGTCCGGTTTCGACCCCCCTGCTGCGTGCGGGGCCGCCCGCCGCCGGACCGGGCTGCCGAGAGCCGCGTCCCGCCTGGCCTCGAGCGACCGCTTTCCCTGCTTCTTCTCTTAAGACGCAGCCCTTCGGCTCCCCTCGGCTTAGCTGCCGGCAGCTCCCGGCCGGCCGGACCGAAGTCCGCTCTGACGGAGGAGCTGTTTACACACGGAGCTCGAAAGGGCTCCTGCCTCTCCCGGGGACGCGTGACCGCGGGCACGCTGCCGCGCCGCCGAGGCCGCGGGGTTTTCTGAAGGACGATCGAGTCCTGCTAACTTAGAGCAAGGACAAAGGCAAGGCTAGCGAAGGACTGTTTGCACCTAACTGCGTAAACCCGCTTCGTCGGACAAGGTCGGGCTAAAACTACTTCCGTGCTGATAGGGGTCCCTCGAACTGAAGAATCGTCTGTCTCGTCTGGCATTTCCCGGGCCGCCACGGCCCGTGTGCGGTTCGGTTCTAACGTTAAAAGTCGCGGCCCGCCACCAAAACCAGACCGAACGGCATTTTTAGCTTCTCCTACCTTCTTTTGCCTCGTCTGCCGGCTGCGACGCGCGCTCAGTTTTCACGGAGACGCCAGGGGATGCCGACGGGGAACGCGGGTCGTACCTTGCGGGATGCGAGACGCGGATCTCGTGCGAGGCCGGCGGCGCGCTGAAGAAAAGGAACAGAAAGCAAACGGGTGGATTGCAGGCGTCTGTCAGCCCGGATCTCTCTCTCGGTGATACCGCGTTAGCCCGCCCCGGAATGCTGCCCGGCACGAATAGCGAGCGTATCGGCAAAGACTATTAGCGCGTCAGAATCGCAAAACAAACAAACAAACAAGAGAGTTAGGCAAAGCAGACCGTGAGAACAGAAGAGAACGAAGAGAAGGCTTACCCCTATCCCGGGCTCGCTCTCAAAACACCAGCGGAGGCGATCTGCGGGAGAGCTCCTTCCCCACCGGTCGCCAGCTCTTAAATAGGCCTAGCAGGGGGGCAGCCTGGCTCCACGCCTTCCGGGTGAATTGCCTTCACCTGCGCTCCTCCGGCTGACTCGCTGCTCGCCTCAGGTGATCAATCGGAGCTTCAGGCCGGGACGCGGCAGTTCCCGCACGGCAAGCGCGACCCTTCGTGAGAAATCGAGCCGACCGAAGCCGCCGCCGCGTCCCTGCGGGCGCCACCCCGCAGCACCCCGCAGCTTTCCTGCCGCGCTCAGCCCTTGGGAGCAGGCGGCGTTGCCACGCCGCCGTACGCAGCTGGATCTCGCCGCCCGGCGCCTACGAAGCTCGAGGTGGGGACAGAAGTTGTCACAACAACGGCGACTACAACTTCCCCGAGCTGTGACTGATGCCCGAACGAAGGCGGGTCGGGCTTCGGTCGGTCTGGTCGCGCGAAGCAAAATCACGCACTTTGTACCTATCAGCCATTCAGCAAAATACTTCAGGGTGCCTGTACGCAACATCGCTCCTGCTTGGTTCTTTGTACGCATGACACCAGCCTGCCCGAGTGCCTGTAGCTGCTGTCGCGCTGTAACGCAACGCGGAGCGCAGCGAGGACAGCCGAGTAGCAAAGCTCCGGGCTACAGCAGCTGAGGGCTCGGCTGACAGCCGAGGCTCACATGCAACGGCCGCAGGCACGGAAACAAAGGGAAAGAAGCTGCTTGCCTCCGGAAGGCCCCAGGTACGCAGGGCTCTCGAGGGAGACGCTCTCCCCTTCGCTGCCGGCCCTTAAATGAGGCCTGGGAAGGGGTGGATCCTGGCTCCGCTCCTTCCTGCCGCTCGGTACATCGCGTGCACCTGAGCTCCCCTGGCCCGGCCTTCCCGCCGGGCGCTCAATCGCCGGCGCGAGCTGCGACTTCTTAGCGTGTCTGCTGTGACTGCGTGTCAGATCGTAAGGGAACGCGAGGTTTGAGGCTTACAAGGAGCGACGGTCCTCGCCTTTCGTCTGCGGTGCGCTCACCTTCAGGCAGTGCCACGTCACTAAGGCAGACGGCTCCCCTGGGGGTGCGAAATGCTTCTCCTATTGTTCCCAGTTGTGGCCACGTCCCTACTTACCGTCCTCCCCCCTTCGCCCGCCGCCAGCTGGGTCTGAATTCCGTCAGACGGTTGACGGCAAGGCGGAAAGGATGCTGGGCACTTTCTCCTCCTGAAGCCTGCTGCATTTTGGGCTCGCCGGCGGTCGGAGTCCGTTTAACTGACAAAGCCGCTTCGAAGTCTCCTTCCACGGGGACAATTTCCCAGGTCGGTTTCTCCTTAGATGTTGCGCCGTCACCTTGGCTTTGACAGCCGAGCTCTGACTCTTCACAGCACGCGTGCGGTACACGTTAAGGCGTTTGGCTTCGCCCTCCTTGTCAGCACGCATAACTAAAGGCAGCATCTCACACGGGAGGCTGTGCGGCCTCACAGGACTCCGGGCTCCGCGGCTCTGCACCCCGATTTCTTTCGGCCCAGCTCTTGTTCTTGCAGGTGATTCTGGCAGCTGCGGCTGAGAACACAAAGATGTGTTACTGCAAAAAGCAGGAAGTCAGACAGAGAAGCACGGTGAGAGCATCGCATTCCCAGGGAGGAAAGGGACGGGAAGAACGCTTTCTCCGAGGGGACGATTCCAACAGTCCCCACACCCAAGTTCGTAACCCCCTGTGAAACAGGTAGCGCCGTTTGGACTTGACTTTCCTTCCGACACCAGTTTCAGAGGAGGTAACGAGACGTATGAGCCGACACGGGGCTCTGCTTTGGGCGCTCTTTTGGGCGCTCTTTTGGGCGCTCCCTTCGTTCTCCGCTTGAAAAGGAACATACGAACGACCTCCGGAGTCAGTAGAAAAGCTCAGAAACGTTTATTTTGGCACAGTTGAAAAAACACACAAATACATCAAATGTCCAGGTTTGTTCAAGCCCGTTCTACATATTGTATCCGGTGTTACGGTGGAGGGAGACCGAAACCAAAACACATTCTCTCCTTACACTCACAGTGCCAATGAATAAAGAACCGTTTGGATCAGGACTCCGCTGCGTCGGAGAGCAATTGCAAAAGGTGAAGAGATCCTGACGCGAACGGACAGGAACGGGCGCTCACTGCACTTGAAGAGCGTGCTGGGGAGAAGCAGCAGAAAGGAGGAGAGATGCTGTGCTTGAGGAAGGACTTGACGGCGCAGAGGTTGGACGCAACCGAAGTCACAGTGCGCACTTGAGGATCAGCCAACGCTGCGACACGAACCGTCCCTCAATAATTAACGTGCAAAAACAATACCTCTTGCAACTAAGCAACTCTGCTTAGTTGCTCTATCACTGACAGGCTCGCCAGCAGAAGCTCCCTGCTTTCAAAAGGCGCCTTTTCTTGGCGTTACGGTATTTGCATAGTTACTCCTTCTCCTCAAAAGGTTAAGAAAATATTCAGCAACTGAGCTCAGGGAAAAACCTATAACCTCCCAAAGATTTCTGTGTGGGGGAAAAAGAAATAAAAGTCACGGCGGCACAAACATGAAAAAACCATGGAAATCGCAGCCAAATCCGCCACTTCCTGAACAGGGAAGGTAAGAACTGTAAGCGCATTTCGGATTGAAAGCATCGTCTGCTGTCCTTAGTTTTGTCTGCCAGAACAAAAGCTTTTTACACCCTTTTGACAGAAAGAAGATCTGCTGTTTCTACGCCAGCAACTCCAGGGTGGCGGGGGCTTGTTTTTGGGTTTTGCTTTTCCCCTCGCTCGGGGGCAGGCTGCTCCTTTGAGGGTTTTTCTTGATCCCCAGCCTTTGCCCTCGCTTGTTCGGATGCTAGAGGACATCTCGTTTGCCTCGTAAGGAGAGAGATGCGAGGACACGCAGCTGCACCGAAACTGGCATAACAAGAGGCCTATTCAGTAAGATATCCCTGCCCAGCTCTGTGCCTACCGCTCTGGATAAGCTTTTATCCTCCGAGAGAAGGAATCCGGATAAAAAGGTCTGCGCTCTCCATACGGGTATGGCATCAGCTCGTGACACTTACGTCCCCGTTTTTGGAAGAGAACTGACTGTTCCAGTTCCCGACCGTTATGTTCATGGCAGTGGCTGACGGTAAAAAGCTTCACAGTAATTTATTTTAGGAGCACAGACCCGTAACCGAGCTCCAGCTAAACTAAGACAGGCTATAGCAACGCAGGTAGGTGGGAACGCACAGGCTGCTTAGAGAGCATTGCACCTACGGTGACAGCGACGCTTCCGCCCGTTTAGCAACCTCAAGTCTTCCGGTCATTTCCCTGTCACCCGCTCTCACGCCCCTGCCGTTGTGCCCACCGTGCCGATCCCGACGTTCACGTGGCAACGGTCAGCCGTGCCAGGAACCGATTTGATGCAAGCTAGCCTAGCCTGACCAAGGAAGATTTGACAGCTACAGCTGCTTCACTTTCCGGAGCGGCTGCTCCTCTGACATCAGATGGGCAAAAGCGGGCACCGGAGGTGCTGTTTCGGCTGGTGCTTTCAACAAGGATTCTGCCCTAAGGTGCTGGCCTGCACAAGTCAGGCGCCTTAAGGAAAGGCTTGAGAAAAGAAACCGCTTATTGCATCCATGGCAATTCACCTGACCTCTCAAGTTCACCTTGGCACTCACTGGCACGTCTAACGGGTGCAAAGATCCCCTGCAGGGAATTCGGTTTCTTTTCACCTGCTGTGTACAAGGAAGATACTAGAGGCTGTCTCTGCGGGACAGGCGTAGCGGCCTACCAACTACAAAGCCGGAGCGAACGGTTCTTCGCCCAAGGACTGAGCTGAAGCTCGCTGAGAAGCTGCCGAAGCGCACGAAGCCGTTGGGATCCGACCCCTACCAGCCAGCTGTCAAAAGCACCAACAGTATTTGAACGGTGGGCCTGTAAGTAGAGTTAAAAGCCAGGGTCAGCTACTTCCGAAGCGGAAGGGGACGTTTCAGGAGGTGTTTTTGCCTTCGTTCGTTTTTTAATATCACAATTTCAGTATTGTTACATTGTCCTAGAACATTAAAGCAGCGGCACTGAGTGTTTGCTGTTACAAACGGGCCCTTCAAACAACCCCGCGTCCTCGGCTTCCCCCAGTTCCGCTCCGGGGCCACAGAACGTATCGCGACACAGGAAGAACTTGCCGAAACTGAAAGCGTAACAAAGACAGGCAGATACCGTCAAGGTGAAACGCGGCCTCTGTGGGAGACAAAGGAAACCACAGAGCTGGAATAGCGCATTTCGAGATGACGGCAGCAGTTCACAGAACTGGACGCGGCCCTGCCCTCAGCGTCTTTACGCGAGCTCATCTTCCCCGGTCGCTTTTGGCACAAACTCTTTGGACGCAGTAATTTGGCTCCCGTTTCGGTCAGCCGCTCGCTGCCTGGCACTTCAGTGGATTCGGAAAAAGTTTCTTCAACGCTGCGTCCAGTTACAGAGTCCTCGGGCGGGAGCGAAGGCTAAACATTGCTGACCCTGGTTTCGGAAGATGAGATCATAGCAGCGGATGCAGATGTCACTAGTGACCGTTCTCGTCGGACGTATCGCGGCTTCCGAACTGAAACGGTGGGCACAGAAACATCATCATTAGCACCTGCTGCAGAAGCGTGCCTTTGTCATTCATTCGTAGCGACACGCGCCCCCCAGCGACCCCCGGGCTGCCAAACTCATTCGGCCCTTTCAATAAGCCAGAAAACCCCGCGCCCCTGCGCAGAGCTGAGAAAAAAAGGCCACACATACGGTACGCGTGTCCTATTGCCCTATTTAATATGTTTGGTGACAGTCATGTGCAGATACTTCAAGCCTTATTAGGGTCTCGCTGATCGCATAAGAACAGCATGTACCGTTTCCCACAAGTAGCACAAATTTGGATGTCCACCAAAAAGCAAGTTCGGATTCCAAAGATTTGGTCTAAACAGTGCGAATCTCAAACAGCCATGTTTATAGGCTGAAACGTGGAAGAACTGCGGAGAAAACTGAGATGCCAACTGCATTTCTGATCGATTTTCGCGCCAATTAAAATCCCACCTTGACAAAACAGCCAACGTACAAACAACCCGCTCGCCACACGCACGCCAAACGCTACGTCCCAAACAGTCCGTGTCACTGGTTTCAAGAACCTGATGTGCTTCAGATCAGCGAGCCTGAAAATCAGCCAGCCTGCCACCGGAAAGAAGATTCCAGTCCTGAAACCGGGCTCCAGACTGCGCTGTTCTTCAAAACCCATTTCTCCCACCTCCTTTCCTCTCCATGAGAATAAAAATAGATCTTTGATTTCTCTGCAGCACAGCGCTGCATCAATACCGTGTGGCGGCGTTAATTACAGCAATAAATCCCACCCAAAAGGGCTTGTGGACATCAGATTTCTGCGCTCTGGACAGATTCCACAGTTCTACACTAGGCCTAAAAGAAATTGTTTTCACTTGCTGAGTCTTCTTAGCGTAACTGCTTTGAGACGTTGCTTCCCAGCAATGAAACGCGCAAGAGGGAGGCTAACAGGCAACATTTGGTTTGTAGCAGCGTGCCCCAGAGAACGGTCTCTCACCTGAAGTAGCTGGGGGAGGTATCATGGATGCCTGCGTAACAGGAGAAGAACAACTGTGTCAAAGAAAGCACCTTGTTGCTTCGGTCCGATTAAAACAAACACAGGAACCTTGCGGGGTTCCAATTCTGTTTACTGCGAGCGCCGTCTCAGAGAAAGCAACTCGTGATCCACGCGGCCAGTATTCAGCTGTCACATTTTTTCTAGCTCCGAGACCCCAAACCCTTTCGTTTTGTCTTGTTTCTCGTACCAGATCGAGCGGCTCGCACATGACTGGTTACTGCTTACTTGATGTTTTAGGCATGCTTACTCTCAGTGGAAAAACAAATCTTACTTACTGTTTCACCAGGCTGGAGAACGGACGCTGAAAGAGAGAGAAACCATCATTAATCTAGACCTGCTAGTGGTTTTGTGTTAAATACATGCGTGCAACAGAATAGTTCCGCCGATAAAAATTTCTGGGGTCACAAAGACCCCCGCAACAGATTAGAACACCAGCAGACCACCCGCGAGGAGGACGTATTGCAGCACTCTTTCCGAGGTTAAAGGGTGGCAAAGGTTTCCAAGAACGGCTCATCGTCCTCTCTAAGAAGGCAGCCCCGGCAGCATCTCTTTATGCTACAGAAGCTCCAACAGCAGAACAGCACCTTCAGCCGGCTACCAGAAGAGCCCGGCACAGCGACACGCCGTTAACTCGCCACGGCTACGTGTGACATTCTTAGCCAAATCACTGAACCCGTTGCTCCGGTCGCCCCTCTCTTTTGTCCTCTTTCGAAAAGTAAGAGGAAGCCTACTCGCTCAGTTGACCTAAACCACAAACCGGCTTTCTGCTCAACAGAAGGAGCTCTAACACAGCAAATGCAGAGCTGGGGTTTGTCGGGAGGAAGATTCAAAGGGTTTGTGCCAAACAGGCAAGACGGAGGCGGCCCTTTTGAGTCCCAGCAGATCCTGCAGTCGGAGGGCAAACAGGTGACTGAGAAGCACCATAACAAGAAACCTCTCACACCGTTCCCTTTCTCCTGCTGCTGACACATCCTCGGTAAACAGGATACCTTCAGCCCTACAGCTCAAGAACAAACAACTGCTTTTTGCGCGGCTTGAAGCACCTGACACTGCGCATACTGAAATATACACGCCGTGCTAAAATGCTCTGTGGGCAAAAAGTCCCCACTGGACGCCTAACATCCAGTGACAGCTCACGCCTGGTACAACACCGAGTCCTTGCACGCTACCGAAAGCAACAGCCAGGTCCGTGAGACACTGTGTCATGTGCACCTAAGCACGCTCAGACTGACGAGCTGCGAGCAAACGCCCTCTGCTCTGCGCTGAAAAACACCATGCTGTAAGCACACGGCGGGGAAAAGTTGTTATTCTGCATTGTCTCGGAGGAGCAAACCTTTTGAGATGTTTCTTGAGACAATTACTTCGAAGCATTTGTTACCTTTGTTCCTTCTGTAGAAAACATTAGGAAGCTTATTGGCACGCTTGAGGTAGAAGAAAGAAGCGACAGACAGAATCAGGAATAAGCTGATGAAAAACGTCCCTAAGATGAGAGAAGCTGCCACTTCCGGACCCCCTGTAAAACACAAAGACAACACCAAAACAACTGCTCGGAGGAAAGCCCAATATCCGCTACAAATCTCTTCTAGCAGAAGGGTGAAACGAAGATGGGGCAAGACGAAAGAAGCATTCCGTGAGATACAGTTACCGCAGAATTCAGCTCTGAGGCTTACAAAAGATTCCCCATGAAAGCTAGGCAGAACAAGTAAAAGGAGCTGCCCCCTTGGGAATTCTATCTGTCTTCCAGGGGGAAAAAAAAAGTACGACTGGCTCCAAAAGCCACGTTTTGAAGGGCTTCGTATACAGCAAGGAGTTGTGAGGCCTACATCCCATCATTACTCTCAACTACTCACCTACGTTCTGTATGAAGGGAGTTACAGTGCTTATATTCATCTGGAAATTCATCCCTCTGATACCAGCTGTAATTAAAAAAAAAAAAAAGCTGCTCAATTGAAATCTGACGATGCCTTCGTTGAAAAACTTTGGGAGAAGGTATTTATCAGCACTTACGTGAAATTATACAAGAATCCCAGTTTCCCCAGTAAGCAACTCAGTTTTAAAAGCATTCTTACCACCACCTTGAGGAACTCCCCGAAAGGAAGCAAAAACCATTCGCCAGCGCATTTCTCATACCTTAGATCAAGTTTCTTACCTCCTTCACTACAATATTCGCAAGGGATGGGATGAATCTCACCTCTCAAAAGCCACAGGCACAAAACGAATCTGTCCTTCACAGAACAGATTGTCAGGAGCTCGAGCAGTGCCTGAGCTCTTTTGTCCCCTGGAAAAGCCCCCAGCGAGTGTCTTTTTGGACAGGAGAGACTAAAGCAAGCACAACACTCAGTATCAAACAAGCACAGTCGATACGGGTCCTAGCCTGTAGGATTAATCATTTTCACGTTTCAAACTTAGTTTTAAGATCTTACATCGGGCCAAATTATCTTTTTTCTTCCTCTAAGCCCGTTGCGTTTGGTTTGACAAATTAGGTACTCCAGTACAACATTTGGCACTCTTTTCCCTTCCGGGTTCTGGAACGGTTCCACAGCACCGCATAGTTTCTGTCTGCTGAATTCCTAAGCTTCTGCAGCTTTTACTGCGTGTTCCAAACCCCCGAGGTACGTCAGGGCTTCGGAAAAGGATGAAGTTTTACAAATGGCGCAAGAGACTTGGCAACACCTGATGGCTTCTTGAACGGTCTTCGTCGGACCGCATAAGCAAGGAGAAATCTTGTTAGCTAGAATAGCAGTATGACAGATGACTCACCGGTTCTGCAGTCGGTCAGATTGTAAACGGTAGCAACAGGAAGAGTTTCATTTTTGCACTTAATGCAGCTGCTACTCCCATCCTCGTTCCATCGTCTGTAACAACCTGCAGAAGAATGAGACGTACAGCGATGTGAAAACAACACAAACAGCACCAGAGACGTTTCCTGGTCTTCGGAAAGGGGCAGGGGTAACAAATCCCACGCGCCACGCAGCCTGCATTTCAGAGCACTTCTTCCAGACAAGACACAACCTCTTAGGGAGCAAAAAAGAGAAAGTGACTTTCCAGAACAGCCCCAAGAAGGAAATTTAAACGTAGCTCAATTCACCGCCTCATTAGCTTGAAGACAAAAGGGATCCATCTGACAACCTGCGAGTACCTTCCACGATACCGAAACCGCAGCATCGTTCGGCCATTTCTTTTTAGAGGTCGTGCACTGCTACAACTGAACTTAATGCCACTGTTGCATGGAGCACAGAAAACAGAGACGGGCAGGGGCAAAGATGCTAAGGACCCGGCTGTGCTTGGATGAAAGAAGATGCTGGAGTTTCCATAGTCAGTGACAAGCTCAAGGTACGAGTGCTGCCGCGATCTAGCCCTCCTCCGTGCCTCGGTGATCTCAGGTACTGCACTAACTGTTTCACTTTCAGAAGAAGCCCAGCCTGTTTCAACTCTCCCGCAGCAGATGGTGAGTGTTTTATGTCCGTCACCCCGCCACGCGGGCTGGAAACTGATTAAACTTGCATCTTCTACGACTGCAGTGTTCCAGCCTCTCAATTTATGTTTAAACACACGTCCTGCTATCTCTTTCGGAAGAGGAACAAAAACATACGTGAAAAAATTTAGGGCGCATCTTCAATAACAACTTCATTTCATAAAATGAAGCTGCGGCGGTTTCACTTGAGGCTCAGACTCAAGACGGGAAGATTAGAAAAATATTCCTCCTGGATCACGTTACAGGCTACATTGTAAAGCAAAAAACTTACTAGGCTGGCTAAAATCCAGCTCTCCAGAGCCTTGAGCCAAACTGGTATCAATTATCCCATAAAGCAAACCATTAGTACGGAGCTGATTTGAAAACAGCTTTGCTACTACCGTTTCCTTAGAGGGAAACAGCACATTTGATGCCCACAGCAATAAATTACATCTGACGTTTAATCTAAATACAAACGGACCCAACGTAAGGGCAAAGCCTTTCCGTAGTAATAGGAAGGAAACATCAAAGGCTTCATCTGACACCAAAGATTTCGGTAGGTTATCAGTTGACAGGAAGACTTCAGAGATTGCAATCCCATAGCTTGGAGACCATGCTCATACCACGTCTAAAATCATTTAGGAGCAGAACTGAAGGCAGCAGTGAAGCAACGGTTTAAGAACCTAACGAGGCAGTGAAATTGGATAGGCTTGTAGAGCTTTAACAACCATCTGAACAGCCCAGAAAGGCACCCCCATTTTGAAATCACCAATTGTCTCGTTGCTGTGGGCTCTGAAGCCATTTGCTGTCTTTTACTCCGATTTTAAACACAGAGTGCGCAGTATTAATAAAAAAACAATACTCCGTTTAGGGAAAATCACCAACTGAAACGGGACGAGAAGAACGAGGCATTCTGTGCTAACGAGGCAACACCAAAACTGCTCTCGAACGTTACAACACACCGCAGCCTTTTTGCTTTTTATGCCCCTTTTATGGACCTCTAAGTATCCAAACTAGCTCTGGCATAATCCAATTGCATGCTGAATAAAAAAGAAAGCATAAAACCTTATAGTCGTCTATTCTACTTACCGTGCAAGGACATTTCGTGCTTCTTATGACTCATATCCTGTACACATAAGGAGAAAGTTCACCTCGTTGTTTATTCTCTTTCCGTTCCCCGCTAAATCGGACGCTGTATGTTCACTGTCAAAAATAATCTGGGATTTAATGAAGGAAAACCGCACTATACCTGGGCTGCACTGGTTGGCCACTGGACAGGAACTGTTTGACTCCAACATGTCCACGCAACATTCCGTTTCTGAAACCTACGAAAAAGAAAAATCATCGCAATGTATTTCCCCGCGGTTTTCAACTTTATACAAATACTGCAGTAAACATCCACAGGGAACACAGGGGAGCAAGCTTTTGCACGAAGAAGCCACTTCGAAGCCCTTTTTCTCAGGACGTAGCGCTTGTTACACAGCTCTCAAACCAGCCGTGAGGACATCAGCGTTGGTGGGAAGCAGCAGAACAAGAGAAATATTCACAGCGACTGCTGCCATCGTAGCTGATCACATGGCACTGCTACAACTGCCGGTAACACAAGTGTTGGAGATCCGCTTCTAGCCAGTTCCCAGATGGCAATAACCCAAAGTGAGTTGCCCTTGTGCTGAAAGCAGAGGGAACGAGGCTGCTAAAAGTTGAGACAACGGGACACATGTTGAGGGCCAGTTCTTAAGCCCCCTCGTCCCCCTTCGTTGACCTGAGACCCGCACAAAGTCCGAGCAGCCGTGCTGTGCCTCCGCTCCCTCGATCTTGAAGAGTTTGATACCGAAACCCTTCACCAACGTTCTTTAGGACGTCGCCAGCATCTGTAACTGCAACAGACCCACGGAAGAGAAACGCACCGTGTCAGCATTAGGCTGCCACTGCTGTTAGTAAAGCGGCAAAGGCGTTCGCGCACACGTGGGAAATCCCAAAAAGAACTCAAAATAGAGACACGCTGTTAGCAACACGGCTGGCAAAAACCAGTTTTCACTGAACGCCCGTATCGCAGCTGAAGATAACATCTACATACGGCAAAGCAATCAGCAGAGATGCAAAAGCTTCTTCCTTCAACATTTAGCATAAGAGTAACTTCACATATCCCGAAGGCAAGAAGAGCTTATTTTTTTCCCGTTGCTTTATCTAAAAGCCAATTTCAAAATGATTTACAAATTACAACAAGCTGTGACATAAGCTTAGAGATAGACGGCTGTTATCAGCTCCGCAGTTCTTTTGGCAGAACGTTGCTGACACTCTGTATAGGCTCGGGCACATCCACTCTCCGAGTCTGCGCAAGGAAAGTAAGTCCAGTGCCTCTTCAACTTGCGTGGATACATGCCCCTAAAGCACACAGCAAGGCCGATCGGTCTTAAGAAGAGGTGAAGTATTCTTGGTCAAAAGTAACTGGATCCGATCTGTATTCCCACATACACAGAACCCGGATGTACCTAACGTAGAACAGTCGGCGTTACGCTGCTAATGGGCAAAAATCCTTCAAATCCAGGGGTGGCGAAGATCAAAGCTGTCAGCGGAAACGTTCGGGACACGAAAGTGTAATTGGAAGGCTGACTTAAAACCGTCAGCGCATCACGAGGGAGGCGAAGAGCCAGAAAACCTGCAGATAACCTCCTGGAGACCAGTTTCCTACAAGGCACTGCCGGTAAAAATTCTCCCAAAAGCAGAATTTTGTGTCTGACCTTTTTCTGGGAAACAGAACTGGCTTCACAGCTCCACAGTCACTAGAAAACTCCTTGGTACCCGGAGTTTGGAGTTTCTGCAGTGGCACTACCTACCGTGCAGCTTGGAAAGCGTTGTCTCAATCGCGGAGGTGCTTTTTTCCTCCCAGTGCAAAGCTTTGCCGGTGGCATTCCTGTGAGCCTACGGGCACACGACTAGCATGAATTTAACAGGCGCTCACAGCCAATTCAACCCACTGTCAGTGCTTCGGTTAATGACCGCCGGCATCACTCATTTCTGTTTAATTACAAAGCCTGTTTAATTATAAACCACAACAGGAAGGGAAAAGACACCGTTTCTTCTCGGTTTGACAGTCCCCAGCATGACAAAAACGCAAAGTACCTACCGAACTTTCAGTAGATTTGCTGGCAACTTCTGCTACAAGCCTGGTTAAGAGAAGGATGTACGGCACCTCCATGCCCAGGAAAGACAACAGTCTAAATAAGAACGAGGAAATGGATTGTTAATGACAGAAGTTAGGCTTTCCCTTCGCTGAGGAACTTTGGCCAACACGCTCCTTTTATTCAAACACAAAGGCCTTGAAATTACACACGCCAAGGGGAACGACTTACCTTGGTGCAAGACAGAGATTTGAGACATTCAGAATTTTCCCTCCAGCTGCAGAAGGGCAGGCTCCTGGCTATGGCAGATCGTGGTTGCTAAGAAACAAGGAGCCTTATCAGTCTGCTCCAAACTGGGCCACGCAGAGACTGTTCCACACCCAGCATCTGAAAATCAACGTGATTGCAAGAGAACAGTTACTGCCTGGCACCACTGCTGATAAGCCTCCCCGCAGTCACAGGCTCCTCTGCCTGCAGCACTGGGCTGTGATGGATCCGTATCAGGGCAGAGAGCACACGCCACTCGAGAAGGCAACGCTGCAATTAATTTTTCCCATGACAGCGCGATCACGAAGCGTTACTGAAGTCTATCTGCTAATAAGCCTTATTTCTCAACTGCCTACAATCAGGCCTCCGTGAGCAGACTGTGCCATCGGCTGTCAGCCTTCCTCCCTCCCCCCCCCCTCCATCCTCCTCATCCGACTCCGCACAGCCTGAGCAAAGTCCACACTTCTTAGGTCGGATTGTCAGGCTGAACTGCTGCGCCCTACGTCACGCTCCATCCGCACTGCTCAGACCCTTCCTCTGCGGGTGCTACAGTGTCTGCCCGGTTTTTGCTCGATAGCGTGGGAAGCCACACCTCACAGCCAGCCTACCTGCAGCCCGGTGCCTTCAGAGTCTTTCCTGTTACAAATAAAACATGGGAGCAGACGAGCTCCTCTAGCTAGAGCGTAACACGAGGAAAGAAAGCCTTTGGCCGTAGGGAAAAGCTCTCCAGTGAGTCATTTCCCCAACTATTTTTGCTAAATAAAACTCCAGTGGATGAATTTCAAATTACTCTAAAAGACATTATCACAACCCTTGGCAAGCTGCTTCTCTGAAAACCAGAATCACTGAACGGTTCCTACGATTAACTTCCACTCTGCTTCTGGAAAAAAGCGTGTGCGCAGAACCCGCTGCCTCAAATTCACAGCAAAAACAGTTCAGCTTAGTGGGAGAACGTATGGCTACCCTCTGTTGTCAGCTAAAAGCTCCAAGACCAAGGGCTGACAATCCCAAAAACCACACTCCAGTGTTACTGCTACAAGTCATTTGTATGGCTAATGAGGATGTGGACAGAGCAGGAAGAGCTCGCACTGCCACCGATCCTTTTCCATTTGAGCATAACAAGGATGGAGATACAACTCCCAGAGCAGTGCCCCGAAGCACAGACGTTACCTTTCTAAGCAGTTCCAGTGGTGACAAGACACCTCACACCAACACCTGCCTTCACAAAAAAGGTGAATTCACCTCAGAGGATGAAAGGAGAAGCTTTCCGCAGCGCAGCACGTAGCTCTAGAAGCCAAGAACGCCGTGCTCACAGCTCCGTAGGGAACACTCTCTTCCTCAGCGCGTTTCAACTGAACAGAAGCTACTGGCGACCCAGCAGAGGTCTAACATCAAGGCAGGCTCGGGGACGTGCGTGCGGATGGACGTATTTTAAACGAGCACGCTCACAAAGCTTGCCTTACTGCCTCTCTTCAAAAATTAGACGTTGCTGCTTCTCTTCTGGGGAGGATCATCACAGTCCGTAAAGACATTTGTTGACGAATTTGTCACGCCTTTGGAAACTGCACGGATTTTTTGGTCAATACCTGATCTGTAAGCGCTAGAGAAATAGAGAGGAACGAGGCATTTGTTTAAACAAGTATATTCTTGTTACCTAGAAAAACACTTCACTTCAGGAACACCTTGTGCTAAACAAGAAAACATTTGGGAAACTGGCCACTGCTGAGAGCCTGATCCTCCTCTTCACAAAAGCTCGACACCGGCTGCATCTCCACTCCTCCAATAAATTAAGATGATAATCAACAACACTGTTGCATTTACGGGCAGTCACTCCCGGCCACTACCGAATGTAACAAACTGGAACATATGTCCCCCAGCTGTTCCAGCAGAACTAGGTCGCTGGATCTATTTGCTCTCAAATCATCAGCAACTTAATTTCTTTCATTACATTTCTGCGAGAGAGACACACGCTATTTGAACTTTATATGCACACCACTGAACCAGCTTTGGAGGCGTGAAAGCAGACGAGCAAAGTGCTTTCCAACTCCCAAACGCATCAGGCTTCCATTGACTCAATTTACGGTTCGCTCCGAGTTCCAGAACCACTTGTTCACATCCTGCTGGGCTCTTTTTCCGCCAGCGAAATATTAACGAACATCTGTCTGAAGGTGGAGGGGTGGAAATCAAGCCACGAAGGCGATACTGGATAGCTACTTGTTGGTTTAGGATGGCGCCCATCGACGGTGCTAAGCATCCTTATCCTTCACGTGTAATAATGTGAAAAAAAAGCACACAGCTTTTTCGAAGAACAAAGTAAGTGCAGGACTTCCAATCGAGACAGCGACGTTCAGCAGGGATTTGGACTGCTCGTTGGTCTTCACTTGCAAAACTGCAGAGCTAAGAACTCATTTTACTGCCTTCCAGCCACCAGTCAATCAGAACTGCTCCGTTAGCGACCTGCACAGCATTTTGTGCCACAACTTCATTCTTTTTAGAAAGGGAAAAACCCTACAGATTTTAAGACTTCCAGCACACGCTATGACTAACCGTGTCTCAGGATGAGGTAGCTGTGTATTTAAATTAAATGAGAGCTGGATCAGGATGTGACACCCACAGCAAAACAATTCACAAGCTCAAGGAAGACGTTTTACGTTTGGCAGCGTTTTCTCTTTGGAGTAAGGAGACAAAAAAAAGATAATGTCACGCACAAGCTGGAGCCCCAATTAGAATGTATTTATGCTTGAGACGCCGACGCAGTTAGGAGAATACAGACATTTTAATTAAAACTAGTATTTCACACCAGAACTCCACGTTTGAAAGAAATCTCAAGTTGCTGTCAGCTCAGATCTCAAGTGACACAACACGCATAAGCAGAACGCGACAACATTCACCGAGTAAATTCTTCCTCTCGCTGCCTTTATCAAAAAAAAGGCAAGCAACTCACGATAAATACTACGCACTTGAACGCTTTCCTCCCACTCCCGGAATCGAGCGCCCTTTAATTGAACTTTAAGTCTGCATTCTGCATGCACGCAGCTTTGCACCTCTCACCTCTGCTGCCCCGCCTGCTGCTGGAGCACTGCGTCAGGGTACTCCTTCAGCTACATGGAAAAAGCCTGCAGCAACACGCTGCTAAATTTCAGGTGGTTTTACAACTCGATCAACAGACGGGAGCGGAAAACAACATCACCCCCATTCCACCGCTTGTTACGCTCGGCCAGGACCTCGATTTGGCCGCAATCAAAGTGGTATCAGAGAGAAATTAAAAGGCAGACTCACGGAGCACAGCCCGCAGACTCCTGGGCTCCTCTCAGCAGCACTGCAGCTCCCCAGGGCCACGCTGGAGGCGGACGGTGTGCAGCTGACTGCTAATTTCCCATTGACACCGTCTCACAATGGATCTGAGCAGTAGAACAGCTGCCAGTTAGGGTTAGAAAATACCTCGTGGAAACGAGAGCTGAAGAGGGACTTGTTTTTCCAGCTCTCTTAGCATACACCTGCAAAGAGACCCACCACCCCTGCCCTCGTAAATGACTTCACAGCAATTAAACGCCACACGCCGCACGAGGCAGCGAGGCTCTCCGCTCCAGCCTCGGCTCCCTTACACCTCTACGAGCGCCCGGAGCACGCCGACACCGTTGTTTACGGCCGTTCGGCCAGCAGACAGGACCGCAGCCTGTTATTATAGCGGGCTTTACGGTCTCACCGCGAGAAGAAACGACGACCGGAGCGATTCGGCCCCGCGGCCCGCAGCACGCAGCGCACACAGGCAGGGCCGGGCCTGGGCCGCGCCCCGGGGCCTCTCCCCCCACACCTGCCCGAACAACGCGGCTCCTCCCGCGGGCTCCCCTCGCCCTCAGCCGCCGATCCCGCGCCCTCCCGCCCCAGAGGAACCCCGTCACCCCCCGCAGATCTCTCCCCACCTGAGGAAGCGTCCTCCGGCAGCACCGCCGGCAGGTTCCCGTTCGTACCCCCCGCCCTCAGGCGGCGCCCTGCCCGCTCCTTCCCGCGGCGCCCTGGGACTTGTAGTTCTCCCGTCTCTCGCCGGCCCTAGGGGTGCGGCGAACGCTCCGCCGCTCCGAACTACAGGTCCCAGCATGCACCGCGCCGCGCCCTACCTGAGCCCTCCTCCCCTCAGGTAAATCCCCTCCCTCAGCCCGCTGCCGCGGCGCCTTCGCCGGCGCCGCTCTGCTGCGCGCGGTGCCTCATGGGAAAGGGAGTCCCGCGCCTCCCGTCACGCCGAGGAAAGGGCGGGTTCCGGCACTACAACTCCCAGTGTGCACCGCGCGGGCGCCGCCATTTTGGGCGTTGCTGGGCGACGCGGACGCCCCAGGAGGAATGGCGGGGGAAGGGGACTGAGGCGCTGGGGGGGGAGTTGGTCACCGAGGGAGGAGTGCTGAAGGGCAGCGGCACGTCCACCTGAGCCTTCTGCTCTACGGGAGTTACTGTGACGAAACGACTGAATGAAGTATGTCTAGTCCCTGCTTGCTGCCATTGCACTCCTCCCAACTGACGTTTCTGCTCACGAGCACGTATTTCTCCGGCACGAATGAGGACACAAATGTGGCTCAGGCAGATTTCTGTACTGACTCTTCCAATCTGAGAGCAGGGAAAAAGTGGGAGATCGTGGAAACTTTCGCTGTTTGCGTGAGAAAATGTGAGCTACCGTGACAATTAACGACATCCAGACACACGATTCATAAATTCTTCTCAGACGCTGTCTCCTGTACCTCAATACCGCTTTTAATTCAACACAGTAGCAGTTCATTCAGTGCAGCAAGAATTATTTTAATCCAGTGTCGCTAGCGATTGCCTGGCTTTCAGCTGTCGGCTGAGGCAGCCACCAAGATTTCCCCTATTGGGCGAAGAAGCGAGCTGGCCCAGCTGCTTGAGGAAGGATGCTTTGGTAGCTTTGGTGATGGGGACGAGGGAAACTGCAGTCCTTGGAGCACGGTCTATTTCTCACTGACCAGCGACATTCCTCAGTGAACACTCTATCCTTAAGGAGGAGCTTGAAAAATGGAATCGTATGGAGCAGAACACAATCCGTGCCCATACTGACAAGTTTCCCCAGATCTGCGCTATTCTACCTCTAGTAAATTAAAGCACTGCTTCTTATGTGTACTCGATTCTATTCAGACTTCCCCAAATTAGTTGTAATCTTTAATCTCCTTCTCTGGAATGGCACTTTTCATCTGCTTGCCTCTGTCCCACATATCAGGGTTTCTCTTTACTAAGCAAGAAGCGCTCATTTCACAGCGATGGTTTTGAAGGTCTGGTTCTGATCAAAGCAGTAACAGGATGGCTTAAGCATTTTCTCTTTCACGTCAGCTTTACAGCGTAGAAGTCTACTGCTAGATTTGCATTAATATTAAGGACAAGCCTAAAAGCTTTCCGCCTTTAAGAAGAACATACGTGTTCTTTGTAAAAAATTGAACAGGACTCAAACAATTCGTACCAGATGGTAAACAATACTCCATTCCACAAATACATGTGCTCATCTGTACTTTTCCTGGAAGATTACCTGGCTGAGACACAGCAAGGCACTCAAGCAGAAGCTTATAGCTGCAGAGCGGATCTGACCTACATAACAGAAGTGGAAACATCAGTTGGCTTGTCGGGAGAATCACAGCCAGCAATTGACACGATTTCATGGTCTGCTGATCCAGTGGCAATATTTCTGTTAAGTGGGAAAACCGATATATATGGCAGCCCTTTGGGAGAGCTGTGTTACCAATGGTATCGGGTGGACCGGGCAGGTTTTACAGTTAGCACCCTGGGCATACCCAGCCGTTCTTGAAGCAAGAAGTACAAAAAGGACTCCCTTCTCATCGTCTGGGTCGTGGGAGGAAAGACCTTTTGAGAAACACCTCTCAGCCAAGCCAAGAGATGTCTCAGGCGTTGGCCGTTTGAACTAAAATACGTGGGGGTGTCTGCTGCCACGCGTGGTGCTCCTATCCAGCAAAAGACTTCGAGTGGGTAAATTGAAAGGGGGTTATTCCAGGGCAGTTTTCATGGGTAGCTTGAATTGAATGCGCTACCACCAAAACGACGTGTTCTACTGTTTCTTTTAGGGAGGGGTTTCAATACCACCAGAACAAACACGTGCATCGCTTCCCTTACCAGCTTTGTTTTAATTGTAAGTTCCCTTTCCACGTTTTTTCCCCTCGAGGCTCTGCTCTGGGATGGAAACTGAAATTGCTTTTTATGAAAGACCCTGAAAGTCCAGGCAGGAGATGGTGGGAATACAAGAAAAACTGTTCGGAGCAGAAGCTGTGGAGCAAGATAAACAGCAGGAGATGTTCCAGACTTCAGAACAGCAGAACAGATGGGCACGATGGCTCTTTGGTTTAGAGCAGGGGATAAGAGAAATGCTCCGCACACAGCCTGATGATGAACAAAAGACATTACAGATGCTGGGATGGTTCTTCTGGCCAAGCTTGCTACCGATTCTGATAGAAGAACTCACATCCAAATTCACCCCATATGATTTTCCTGCCTACGCTGTCTTAAAAGTACCTTAGATGTGCAATTGAAAAGAGAATTGGGATGATTTCTGACGTTTCTATTAGCTAAACCTTTCAATGCTCTGCAAATTGCATTTGTGCAATTGTAGATGTGGTTCTTCTCTCCCTAGGTGTTCGTCCTTTGTAATGTAACAAAGCCTTCCTATGCACGAAGTGGGAAGTGGAAAAACGTAAATATTCATCATTCTTAATGAACCATTTATTTCCGCACGCTTAGTGGAAGGTAAATTTACCAAATATGCATAGCTAAATGAATTAGTCCTAATAAGGTTTCAATCTTGCTCAATTTCTGGGGCTTAGTCAACATTTTCCATACATTTCTCGGCCGAGAGCAAGGGAGGGAGGGCAAAGAGGTGAGGAGGGAGAAACCAAAATGACTCCCGAGGCTGTTGGTGCGAGAACAAAGATCCAGCATCGACTGTATAAATAAACATGAGAGCATATGAAAGCGGTAATGATTCTCGTAATATACGGCTTTAATTACTACCACATTGAGAAGAAATCCTCAGCAATGGACTGACTTCTTCTCGGGCTTTATTAAAAAGTGAATTGCGTTCCGCAGTGCAGAGCTCGTATTCCTCAGCAATCCTCCCTTTTTGAACACACAGCGTCGTAAAAACACATCTACAAAAAAAAAGCAGAAAAAAGTCCTTCCAGTTGGTGAAGTGTGAGGTCACACGCACGTGGAAACTCATCTTTCCTTGTGCACCGCCGAATGAGATGCTGGGCAGCCCAGGCACATCTGAGCCCTTATCACAGCAGCACAACCTAAGAAGTGCTGGGGGAAATCCGCTCTCCTCACCTGGAGAGCTTCATTATCTGGGGGATGCGAGCGGCTGCGTTTCCCCCGGCCTGTGCGAGGGCACGGCTCAGTGCAATCCGCCTTTATCGGGGCCTTCTTCAGGTTTTCCGTTCGCAGAAGGATTGCTGAGCCACGGAATTATCAGCTCCCAGCTCAGTACTTACGGAGCGTGCAAGGAGAGCACCGAGCAAGCGTGGCTGCGGCGTTCATCGCCAGCGCCCAAAGCAAAGCCAAGCAAAGGATAAACCAAGAAACAACAAAAGCCCCGCTTCCTCAGCGTTCCAGAGACGGATTGTTTCTGAGAGAAGGAAAAAAAATAAGTTACAGCAAAGGAAGCAACAAGGAAACAGCTTTGCGCAACAGGATTTCCTGCCAGGACCTTTGGGTCACAGCCACTGGATGCCCCATCCAGTCCTGGGATGGTCCTGGGGCTCCCTGCTCGCTGACTGTGGGGTGTCTTGCCACTTATGGGGCTGTCCCTGGGGGCTCAGGTTGGCGATTTGGTAAATATCTTTCTCAGACTCAGGAAATTCACGGCATACTTCAAAAGGCACGCACGGATCTGCAGGAGGAGGAAGGAGCCTGGTGTGGTTTTTTATTGCTTTTATGAAAGTAAATAGCTGCCATAGTTTGGGGGACTGGCAGCGCATGACCCACAGCCTCACGTCTCCGTGTCTGGATCGCTCCATGAACGCCGAGGGCAATTTTCTCTTGGCTGCTCTCACAGCTGAAAGCTTAGCAGAACTCGCCTAGTAAAAGCTATTACCACTTTGTACAAAGCCTTGCTTTTGTGTTCCCTACAAATGCAACTTCAAGCTGTCATCTCGAATAACAGGGGAAATCCATTGGCTCCTTTAAAACTTATATTTTGATTTTAAAAGAGTCCAGCTTGTGGCAAGAAAGGCTCGCAGAGAACGACCAGCTCGCCAGGTCCAGCCGCACCACACACGTGCCAGCCTGTCAGGTAACACGTCCACGGGCACCTAAATTGTAATTCCAACTGTCCTTCTCCCAGCTTCTGCAATATCAATGGCATATCTCCATCTCACCAAGGAAAAAGCATGAAGAAAGAAGAAAAAGAAACCCTTGCTAGCATTGGGCTTGCCTATTTATACTGCAGTCCTCCCAAATTAACACCTACTCAGCGGGCAGGGCTCCAGCAGCACGCTGATCAGAGCTCTGATCTGGAGCGGGTTTAACTCTCTGCTTGCCTTATATGGAGCAGAAGATAGAACAACTTCTTTCCTTTTCCCTCCTTCACTTTTATTTAGCAGCTACTGCACGCCATTCCGTGCCTCCGGTTTTCTGGGTCCCGAAGCAATGTGTCATCCAACACGGAGGCATCCAAGGCCAGGTTGGATGGGATCCTGGGCGGCTTGATTTAGTGGTTGGCAAACCCGCCCGTGGCAGTGAGGTTGGAACTGGGTGATCTTTAAGGACCCCTCCAACCTAAGCTACCCTGTGATGCTATGATCCTTTCAGGGTCCAGAAGCAGTGTGCCATCGTTAACGGGTTGATGGCTGGACTGATGGGTGAATGGTCAGACTGGATGATCTCAGCGATCTTTTCCAACCTTAACGATTCTCTGATTCAATCCTCGAATGTAGCAGCGTTTAAACTGGATTTAGTTCACAGTAAAGACAAATGAACAAGGGAAAGAAACTAAAAAGGTCATACAGTAAAAAGAGGAACACCAGACCCAGTCAAAAGCATCAACAAGAAGATGGCGCATCGGCATAAAGCAACAAAAATTTAAGGAATTCATCTGCCTGCTTACAAAAACAGGT